ATGGACATGCCACCTGGAGATTAGATACAAGGCAGGAGGACAAGAGTTATGGGACTTAACTCTTATGTTATGGGTTATGGGTCTGGACCCATATGAGTTATGGGTCTGGACCCATATGAGTTATGGGTCTGGACCACCACATAAGATGGGAAGCCTGGACTAAGCATGGAGGTTGGATGGAGTGTGGGTGGGCAAAGATCCAGCAGACCCACCAGAGTGGACTGATGCATCTGGGGCAAGCTTAGTGATTGGAGAAGGTACAGCTAGACTAGTATACATGGACTCATCAGATTGAACCAGTGCATTCGGAGTGTGGCCCAGGTTGGGCTTTGAGTTGGATATAAGCTGCAGGTGGACTTGGGTCAAACCAGTTCATCAGACTCGGTTGGTCTACAGGATGCGTGAATGGTGCCAAGAAGGTTGGAAATGACATCATCAGGGCTCACTAGAGTGGCCTATTGCACAGGATAGGCAACCAGCATCCTGTGTGGGTATCGGAGAGGATACAGGTAAGCTAAAGTCAAGTGGATTTATCTGGCTGTACTAGAGCCCAGGATGTGCCCCTCAGAACAGTTCTGGAGGCTGTATATGGTGTAGGTGGACTAGGGTCAGGCAGATCCCATCTCAGCCATTCAAGTCAATACTACTTGCACTCCCTAGATGCCTTAGGGATATTGTAATGGTCCATATGCCCCAAAAGGCGAGATTTTGTAACAGTGGTCAGAATGTTCTATGACAGCCTTTCCAAGGGTCTGTCTCAACAAAGTAGTGACTCTTACAAAGAGGAGTGCACAGGCATATTTATAACAGCATCATGGAAAGTAGTGAATATAGAAAGACCCAAAAATTAAGATTGGCTATATCCATCCTGAACATTGGTCTAATATAAAAGTGCACATAACTGAAGGTCATCTAGAGAGGAATATGCAGTGGCATGGGGTACCCATCGTGGATACAGAGTCAATGGAGGCAGCAGTGTGGTCTGTGGATGCTCAACTCTGGCAATTTAAATGTTTTTTTTTTTTTTTTATCAGTTTCTGTTATTTCTAGTTGCTTTCTCTGATCACTGTCCTGCTCAGTCCCACAGCCGTTCAGTCCCAAAGAAACACAGAGGCCTACATTAATTATGAACTGGCTGGCCTATTAGCTCAGGCTTCTTATTAACTAATTCTTACATCTTACATTAACCCATAAATCTTGTCTGTGTTAGGCATGTGGCTTGGTACCTTTTATCAGTGTGGCATTATCATCTTGCTTCCTCTGCATCTGGGTGAAGATTGCAGACTGAGCCTTTCCTCTTCCAAGAATTCTCCTGTTCTTGTCACCCACCTATACTTTCTGCCTGGCTACTGGCCAGTCAGCAGTACAAGTGATAAATCTTTACAGGGAACAAGACCATTGTCCCACAGCAATTAAGTACCTCTTATCAAAATGCTCAGAACCCTAAGTGTTTTAGATTTTCATTTTTTTATATTCTGGAATATCGCACTCATAAATACATGCATGCATGTATATTTAGAGAGAGAAAGAAATACACACATATACACAATCTTGGGAATGGGACACAAAATTCTTTTGTGCTTCATATATTCCTATTACACATAGCCTGGCTGGAATTTAAATTTATATATATTTTTAGTGTGATTATGTTTGATTATAATCTGACATGTGAGGTCAGATAAAGAACTTTCCATTTGTAGCTTCATATCTGTACTCCAAAAGTTTCTGAGTTTGAAGTATTTTGGATTTTGAATTTTAGAATTAGGTATATTCACTTTATATTTCCTTTATGCTATGTATGTGTGTGTTTTTATGTAAGTGCAGGTGCTAATGAGGTCGCCAGAGGTTGATATTCTCAACCAATCAGTCTATGCCTTATTAATTTGTTTATTTTAATTTATTTAATTAATCCCATTTATTTAGTGAGAGACATGGGGCTCACTGATTTGGCTAGACTTTGCTGGCCAGCAAGCCTTCTACCTGGTTCTCTAGTACTGGGATTATAAGCATAGAGTCTTTTAAAAAATATTGATTTATTTTATGTATATGAGTGACCTGTCTTCACACACACCAGAAGAGGAAATCAGACCCCATTGCAGATGGTCGTGAGCCACCTGCAGCTGAGCCATCTCTCCAGCCCCACAGGCACACACATTTATATCCAGCATTTTTATATGAGTACTGAGGATTAGACTCAGCTCTTTATTTTTGTCTGGCAAGCACGTGGCCAACTGAACTGTCTCCCCAGACCCTATGCTATTTTATCTTTTAAAATACAAAATGAAAGTTCTTTTTGGTTGACTATAGTTACTAGCTAGGAAAAGTTACCAAGCTGTTGCTCAGTTTGGGGGATTATTGGAGCACTCACTCCTTCTGGGCAGTTTGATCTATCATTTGTCTGTGTAAAATTCTTCAGTAGTTCAGTCAGAGGAGGAGAGTATGTGAGAAAAGGAGAAAAGGTGTTTTTTTTTTTTTTTACATGTTTGAAATGCCTTCCTTGGTCCTTATTTTCGAACAATCATATGCCAGGGTATATATGCTTTATTACCTTTTCTCTCAACAATTTGAAAATACTGTTCAATTGTCTTGACATCAGTGAATGGGTGATTTTGCTGATGAAAAGACTGAGTTCAGTTTAATGAACATTTCTTTGTAGGTATTTTTTTTCTTTTTGTCCTCACAGCTTTATATTTTTATCTATAATATTCTGCAGTGTCACTACGCAATGTCTAAGCAGAAATTTATCTTTGTTTATTCTTCTTGGCACTTGGCGCATGCTTTCTAGCTGAGGCTTGTCATCTCTCATCAAGGCTTAGCTATTTTCTCTTTGCAAATTGCTTTCCCGTCAGTTCCCACAGTTGAGAAATCTGACTACGTGTGCACACAAGATTGTCAATCTATCCTATTTTTAACTGCTGCTTTGCTTTTATAATTGAGGCAAAATTTATTTCCAGTGAGATTCATAGGCATCATGTGTGTAATTTGGTGTACACATACACTTGTGAGACCACGAAATCCCAGTCAAGCATATGTTCAGAATCACAGACATTCCCTCTTCCTCCTTCCACACAGGTAACTCTTCCTATTTTTCCCATGGTAGCTCCATAGTTCTTCAGTGTCCTATAAACAGGACTATTCTGAATCTATTTTGTCTTATCTCTTTCACTCAAAATGTTTTTGAGATAAATCTATTTTATTACATGTGCCAACAGCGAATTCCTTCTTTAAAGTTCAGTAGTCTTTCATTGTAGAAAAATACATTGAACTTATGTAATTCATTTTCCAGTGTAGGCAGTATGAGTCTTCAGATATGTAGATGAAGGTGTGCCTGGGTGTCACAGCCAGTGAGCTACCCCAGGCTTAGTCATTGTAGGCATAAGAATCTCAGGCCACAGTAACTTTAATGATGCCCCAGCTCGGACCATTGAGCCTGAGAGGCATTTGTAAAGCTAAGTCTACTTCTTCCAGGTTTCCCAGATCTTAGCTTTGTCTCAGCAGAGCCCCTGGCAAAGCCACAAAAAGGATGGGGGTTGGAAGACTGAAAAGCACCAACACAATCAAAAGCCCTGGCATGTTTCTCAGGAATCAGGACAGAAGTCTTTGCAATCAACCCTGCGTCAGCCCTACCTCTCATTCCACACTTTTACCCCTGTTTGGTACCACAGTTCCCTCTTACCCAGTTTTTAACAACTTCCCACTTTTCTTCCAGCCGTCTAGTCAGGAAGAATCTGATTACATAATTTATGATACTGAAAAGTTAAGGGATGTGATGGACCAGAAAATGCCTCCCCTGGTTTCCAGGCTGTGATCCGTTTAGTGTCCCTGTTTCCTTAGATCCAAAAGGATGAGTTTACAGGTGCGGTTAAAGACTTTGGAAGTTGGGAGAGTCAGGGAGCCCAGTGCAACCACCAGGTTTTCAATGAGAAGGTCAAGGCAGAGAAGGGGATGTAACAAAAAAAAAAGCCAGAAAGGAGGAAAGAGAACAGGGAAGGGAGGAAGTCGCTGGGAGATGTGGAGGTGGGAGGCTGAGGGCGTCTTGTGTTTCTTTAAAATGGAAGAAGGTTCTGAAGCAAAGATGTCAGCAGCTCCTAGGAAAGAGAAAAAAGCAAGGAATAAGATTTCCAAGAGGTTCCAGAAAGACTTCAGTTCTGTTGACCTATCTAGACTTCAGGCATCCCAGAACTACAAGATAATAAGTTTCTATTATTTTAAGCTGACTTGGGTCAAATTGCTGAAGTGCTGATGGGAAACCAACACAGGGGCTGAAGGTTTTTATCTTCTTAGAAATACTTGAAGTCAACCAGGGGACCAAAGGAGAAGGGAATTACGTCGTCAAATACACAACTTGGCATTGGAAGGGTTTCAGCCTCACAAGCAGGTGACTGCGTTCTTCAGTTCAGTAATCTTGTAGTATCTTTAACAGACATTATTCATTTCACTATGTTGGGGAACTACTACAGAAGTGTTTGGTTTTTTTTTTTTGGTGTATGTGTTATTCAATCATTTCAATTTTGTGTAATTTTACTTCTAGTTGCTGAGTTTTTTTTTTATTAGCTGTCTTCATTTGCATTCCTTTTCCTTGAGTTTTGGGATGGCAGGACAAGCTCAGGAGTGTTCTTCTGGAGTTGCCCTCTCAACACTGCGGCATTGGAGCTCGTTTTTTACCTTTCTAGAAGTTTCTGTTCTTAAAACTGTTGACTTAGGAAGTTGCTAGCCCTAGAGCGGGTACTAGTTTAGGGATGGACAGATAGGAGAGAGAGAAAAACAAGTATGAAAATTCATGGATGTTCTCCACTCTGGAGGCTTCATGGGTGTGGGGCACCTGGGTTTAGGCAGAAGCCAGGCTGGTAGAGGGAAGTACCTAAGGCTGGCCTAGTGGGGTCTTGCCCTTCTGTCCTGTAGTCCCAACCAGGTCATGTGACGTTCCTTTAGCCAATTGTTCAGAGAGACAAGTTAAGGTATAAAATAAAGGTGATTTCCGTTCTGATTCTTCACCGCAGCAATATGTCAGCCGCCCCCAGAGAGGACGAAAGTAAATGAATCGGTGCTGGAGAGTGAAGGATACCATCCGTGCAGAATGGCGAAAGGACTCCCAAACAGCATCTTCATTGATTTTCTTTGTAATTGACACAGCATCTCGGTTTGCCTTCAGGCTTCAGCAAGAGAGAATGGGCAGCCATGTACACAGAGCTTGCCGGTGTCGGAATTTAATAAAAAAAAAAAAATACCTTCCAAATGAACGCCCTTTCTTCCTCATTGTTCCTCTTTCTTTCTCTCTCTTCTTTCTGCTTCCTTGGTGTCCCCTCCTTTCCTATTTTTCTCTACTCAATGCCTTCCACCCCCACTTCCAAACAGAAGCATGCACGGTAAATATTACAGTGTGTGCAACCCGGCTGTCACATCGATGACTTTAGGAAAAGAAAAAAAATAGCACATTTCACCTTTCAAGTTGGCTTGAATCTCATTTAGACAAAAGCTCAGTATTTTTCTGGAAAAAAAAAAAACAAAGCACAAACAAAGCATAACTCGAGGTGGCCATATCCTAGAATACATCACTAAAGCATGATTTCAGGAAGTCCTGTGCTCCCCTCAGGGGCTCCCGAGAATCCCCTGCACAGGATATGGGAGCATGGGTGTCACCTCCTAATCTGCAGGTCAGCTTCCCCTGACCTCAGAGGCAGATCCTGGCCCTGGCATGTTGCTAGATATGGATTTCACAGTCCGTGGAAGCTGAGGTTCACCTTGTAATTTTCAAGAGTCCCTTGACAAGAGACCCTCTGTAGGTAGCTGGGATGGAGGGTTGCTATGGCCTGAAGCTGCCTTCGAGAGATCTGGGAGCAAAAAAAGGGATGCTGTGCATTAGAGAAAAGCCTTATCAGTGACTATCAGCAGCTGCTGGGCCAAACCTAAGAAGGCTGGATTTGATTCTGGAGAACAGATCTCCTGATAATCTCTTATTGTGGCACACTTGTGTGTATTCCAAGGAATGGGTAAACAGTCAGATATCACCAGAAACATGTACCAGAAAGACACCATTGTGCCAGAAGCTAATCTCGGCACAGAAGAGGCTCACAATGTAGTAGGATACTTTCATCCTTCTCCATCTAGCTCTGCCGTCTTTACTTTGCTCTTGCTTGTTTGCTTTAAAGATGCCTTTTAACTTGCCTTGGGAACCATATTTCCTCCTTCAACAGATACCTGTAGAGTTCTATATGTGCCCACCACTGTGTTTTGTGTGATGGATAGAATGGTGGGCATCCAGTCTCTAGTGAGATGGGAAATAGAAACAGGGTAATGCTCAGAAGTCCATGGACCAGCTAGCCTGTCTTACAGGGGGGTGAACATCAAGAGCACTTCCTCAAACAAGGTGAATGGTAAAGACTATCATGCAAGGCTATCCTTTGATTTCATACATTACCTGTAATCACAACATGCATAAATATACAAGAGCATACATATACACACCATACACATACATTACAAACATACAGGCGTGCTCTTACACATGTATTAAAAAGTAACTCCAGATGTTGTCAAATGTTTGTGTGAAGCACAATAACTAATTGAGAATTTCTACCATAAGCAATTCCATTTGACCTTTGTAATACCTATGTAGGCAGAACGACTCTTAAGACTATTACCGTGATAAAACCCCAAAAGCAACTTGGAGAGGAAATGGTTTATCTCATCCCACATGCCCTGGTCACAGTCCATCCGTACTAAAGGGAACTCAAGGCAAGAATTCAAGGCAGGAGCCTAAAAGCAGAAACTTAATCAGAGGCAATGAAAAAATGATTCTTCCTGTAATATTTCTCGTGGTGTGCTCAGTTGCTTTCACAGCACCCAGGACCACCAGCCTAGAAACGGCACTGCCCACTGTACACTGGTCCTTCACACATCAATTGTCAGTCAGGAAATTGCATTACAGGCTTGTGCACAGGGTAGTCTAGTGGGGACATTCATTTCTCAATTGAAGTTTTCTTTTTGCAAAATGACTCCAGCTTGTGTCAAGTTGACATGAAACGAGCCAGCACAAGTTTTAATATTTTCTCCATCAACTAGACACAGAGGGTGATTTCAAGTCATTATATCCTCTGTTGAAAGGGAAGGGTAACAGTTTAAACATGCATAAGATCACTTATTCTGATTCCATGGGCTTCTTCTGGTCACTGTCAGTTCACCAGTTTCCCCACACCCTTCTTTGTTATTAAGTTCTTATTTTAAGCTTGAACTCAAAGCCACTCCTGTGAGATTTATTGTGGTTCTTTGTACCTGACACTTGAATGTGAGATATATGCTATGAAATATTTTCTCTTTCTCATTTTATCTGATATTTAAATGGTTCCCAGCTAAAAACTCAAAATGATACCCACAAGTCCTCATTCCAAATGGTCATAAAACAAAAGCTATGAGAAATTTTTATACATAAAAGTAAGAGTTCTGTAGTTAGGTTTACTATCAAGAATGATAGGGGCAATAACTAGAATTGTCCTCCCAGATATACGTTTCCAGTAGGGGAGTTAAACTATTGCGCCTAATGGGATATTAACTTGACACTCAAACACATCACTGTTTGTTCAACTGTAACCTTTCCTTTCCCTTTGTCCCCAATACGTCATATTAATATCAATATCACAATATAAAACATATTCAAAACTTCAAACGTTCCACAGTCTTTAAAAACTCAAACTTTTAAAGTTCAGTCTCTTTTAAAGTCCCTCTAAAACTGCAAAGACTCTCTGAAACCCCCAAATCCCTCAATTGTGAATTCCTGTAAAGCAAAAATAAGTTGCATACTTTTTTACTCAAAGAGGGAAGAACCAGAGCATAATCACAGTAAAAACAAAAAGCAAAATAAAAATTCAACAGTATTACCAAGTTCAGTGTTGGATGTCTGGGACACACTTACAGTCCTCCAGTCTAGCAAGGCCAGTATGGTTAGTTCCGCTTCTCCAGTTCGCCCTCTGCAACACAAACAGATGGTTTCCTGGGCTCAGAATGTCTCTGTTTTCATATCCGCTACTGTCCTTGGTGCTTCTCCCATGGTGCTGGCAACTCTGAAATTCTGGTTCCCCTGCTGTAATTGTGTTGCGCTTTGACCAATTGTCACTCCAGGACTCTCTTCACAGTCTCTGAGCCTGCCACATAGTGCCGAGCTTGAACTTCTCTCCCATGACCCTTCTACCGCAACTGAGGCTGAGCTTTCACAGTGATGAAGCCTCTCTACAGACTCCAGTCCTGCTACACAGTGCCGAGCCTCGGCAGCTCCCCATGACCCCTTCTTCAAAACCGAACACCTGAGTGACTCTTACACTGTTAATTTGGCTGCTGCTGTGAGATGGCATCTCACCCAACTCTGGACTAGTTTCTCTATAATGATGCAGAGGAAATATCCCAGAAGGTTTTGCCTTCTTGATTGCAAATGAGTCTTCAGCCTCAAATGACCAGGACCCATTGTTCCAGTAAAGTAGAGTCTCACATGGGTGGTTCTTAGTTAAAAATATCAACGGTCCCGAAAGAGCCTTTAGAGAACTTTCACAAGCCAGGTATCCAGCATCCACATTGCTCTCAGCATGTTTATCTTCCAAGCTCCCACAGAACCGCCCATTGAGCTCTGGGCACCAATGGCTTTTTTCAACCCAAAGTCCTAAACACGCCCGCAATCCTCTCCAAAGCAGGTGGTCAGATCTGTCGCGGCAAAATCCTCCCACTTGCTATCAATTTCAGTCTTAATTGTAGTTTCTATTGCTGTGATAAGACACCGGTGGCAAAAGTAAGTTGGGGAGAAAAGTACTTATTGCATCTCACTTGCTCCAATTGCTGCCCATTGTCAAGGGAAGTCACGACAGGAATTCGAGGTGGCAATCAGGAGGCAGACACTGAAGCAGAGGCCACTGAAGAATGCGGCTTACTGGCTAGCTCTTCATGACTTGCTCAGCCTGCTTTCTTATAATGCCCAGGACCACCAGTCAATGGATGGCACCAACTATAGTGAGCTAGCCTCTGTCACATCGATAACTAATCAAGAAAATGTACCACAGGTTTGCCCACATGCCAATCTACTGTTTTTTTTTTTTCTTTCACATTGAGATTCTCTTTGGCAAAATGACTCTAGTTGGGTCAAGTTGACATAAAACTAGGCAGCATAGCCCCCCCCCTCCAATTTATCATACTGTTTTCTCCTTAATGGATATCAACAATGACCTCCCGACACCCTGGCAAACAGCTAGGAGAAAATATTTTGACACATGAAAACGCCTGCCAAGGTGGCCCCTGAGTCTGCCTCGGCATGAGATTGGTGCCGAAGAGCATGTCGGGTATTAAAAGTGAAAACACAAAACGCTTCTGTGTGTAGTAATGGATTTAAAAGGTCCAGTGTCAACATGTAGGGTTTTAGACTCTATAAGGAGAAGTAGCATTTATTGTTGACTCATTTTTCCGTCTCAGTTATGTGATACCATGGAGGTGAGACTCAGGGTTTGCATTTTTAGGGACCAGTAAAATAAGAGTCCTATTGTTAGAAAGGGGCTACCCTGAGGGAGAAACTCAGGTTCATCAGAAGGCAAAGTTGATGTCCCTTGAATGACACCTTTGTTGATCCCTCATGGGGTGCTGGGCAGGATGGATGGCCTTGAAGGGTCCCTTAAATGTTCCCATGTAATGATCTGAAATATGGACTCATTATTAGGGAAAGAAACAGCACCGAACACGATCCCAATGTGAGCAGTCTGTTACGCTATTTTCCTAAAATACCAAAGGTCACCTTTGTGGGTGTGTGGAATACTGATGCTCATTTCTGCTTGGCATGCTGAAAAAAAAATCAAACTCCAAATAAAGCAATAAAACAATCCTTATAGAGCACTTTTAACAAGGAAAAATTGGTTTAGACTACTTGCTTATTCCTTTCTGGCTGGCTGCTTTGAACTTGGGAGGGTGCTGGGAATTAGAAAAGAAAAGATTTAGTGTCGCTTAAGAGGCTCAGCCAGGGCCAAGCCTTTTGTGTGGGGGAAGGATTTTTTTTTCCTATTTTAACTTCCCGTGTCTTCTTTGTTTTGTCTTCTTTCTTGAATATTTCTCCCTCCCCAGAAGTTTCCTGTGCCCTGAATCAGAGGCATGCCACCCCAGCAGTACCTTAACATTGCCCGCGGGGAGACGGTTTGTTAACCAATACCAAAAGGCTAGCCCTGAAAACATACATATGAGTAACGCTATACAGACTGAGCAGTTTATATTTATGTATTTAGGATTACGTGTGTGTGTGTGTGTGTGTATAAAAAGGCTATCATAGATGTGAAAGAAAGAAAGAAAGAAAGAAAGAAAGAAAGAAAGGAAGGAAGGAAGGAAGGAAGGAAGGAAGGAAGGAAGGAAGGAGGGATATATGGGAGAGAGGGAAGTGGGAAATGATGTAATTGTTTTATAATT